TCCAACAAAGAAAACTGAATTAATACTAGTGAATATTTCAGAATGGCCATAATGGTGCTAATATGTGAACACAAAACCATTTAGGAAAGTAAATGTTGATTGGACACTTTGCACTGTATTAATTAACCAGGGGAATATGTGGTGGTTGTTACTGGGTGTTACTGGGTTCATTCCCCCAGGAAAGAAGAGATAGACACAGACGAAGTAATTAGGGTAAAACACAATGAAGGCCATGAGGGGTGAGGAATGACACAAGGTCACTTCCCCTCCCAGACTGGCCCTACAAGCCAGGGACTGTGGACAAGGCAGAGGTTTACCCCTGCACGTATCGGTAGTTGTGGATTTGAGCTTCCTCATCTCAAAGACCACGGGGCTTGGCCAGGCACATCCAAAGACCTTTCCATCTCTGTCCCAGTCTGTGATTTTCTTTCTTTCTTCCTTCTTTCCTCCCTTTCTTTCTTTCTTTTAGATTTTATTTATTTGAGAGAGAGCACAAGCAGGGGGAAGGGCAGAGGGTGAGGGAGAAGTAGATGCCTCACTGAGCAGGGAGCCCAATGCAGGGCTCAATCCCAGGATCCTGAGATCATGACCTGAGCCCAAGTCAGATGCTTAACCAACTGAGCCACCCAGGGGCTTCTCCGTCTGTGATTTTCAAATAAAGCTTTATTCCACTGGAGAAGATTAACATTTAGAAGAGAGGACTGTTTGTAGCAAGGAGTGGCTCTTTTCTTATCCTAAGCCATGCCCATGTGTCACTGGAGTACACCACACTGCCTTTACTCTGCTAGCTCAAGAAGTAATATATGCCAATTGTATTACTCAAGCAAGACGGGTATGAGAGTTGTTACACAGATCACTTTAATCACTTTAGAAAAACAACTTTCTTTGCTCAATATTCAATTTGTCGGCACACCTGGGTGACTCAGTTGGTTAACCATCCCACTTTTGATTCTGGCTCAGGTCATGATCTCAGGGTCTTGGGATCAAGCCCCACAAAGAGCTCTGCATTGGGCGTGGAACCTGCTTAAGATTCTCTCTCTCCTCCTTCTCCCTTTGCCCTTCCCCACTTGCACTCTCTCTAAAAAAAAGAAAAAAATTCAATCTCATATCAAACCAACCAGAATTGTCTTGTTGGTTGTCTTTCTTTTTTAATTATTCAAGTATAATTAACATACAGTTATATTAATTTTAGGTGTATGATATAATGATTCAATAATTCTATACATTTCTCAGTGCTCAGCAAGAAAGTGTACTCTTTGTACTCTTGATCCCCTTTATCTACTTCACCCATTCCCCCACCCATCTCCCCTCTGGTAGCCACCAGTTTGTTCTGTGTTTAAGGGTCTGTTTTTTTCATTTGTCTCTTTTTTTGTTTGTTTCTTCTGTTTCTTAAATCCAACTTATGAGTTATATTGAATGGTATTTGTCTTTCTCTGACTGACTTATTTCCCTTAGCATTATACCCTCTAGATCCATCTGTGTTGTTGCAGAACTTACCATTATATTTCTAAATAAGTATGGAGCTTAAAACTCCAATTTATTTGCAAAAACATTGTTCCAAATTTTTTTTCTCTTATTTCATATAACTAACCTAGTGTCATGGATGAAAAAGAAAGCTGCTGGGACTCCTGAGTGGCTCAGTCAGTTAAGCGTCTGCCTTCGGCTCAGCTCATGATCCAGGGTCCTGGGTTTGAGTCTTACATCAGGCTCCCTGCTCAGCGGGGAGCCTGCTTCTCCCTCTGTCTGCCGTTCACACTGCTTGTGCTCTCTGTCAAATAAATTAATAAAATCTTTAAAAAAAGAAAAAGAAAGCTGCTACTTAAAGCAATAGAATTACTAGGTACTGGATGGTAATTAGTACTTATTTGACAAGAGGAGTATCTTGTGTTCACTAGTATGTGACTTTCTCCTGTCATGGGTTGAGGAATATGACTCCAAAGCCCTAAATACAACATTCATTATTTATACTTGCCTCTCAACATTTATTGAGCATATATTATGTGCCAGATACTGTGCTAAGGGCTAAAGGTAGAGACAGAAGGATGAACAAGACATAGTCTTGTCCTCCATTGACTTATAGGAATTGAGGGAAATGTCACCTGGGCCAGGAGGACCAAGAGCCCAGATGAGGAATAATGAAATTTGAATTAGATAGTGTTAGTGAGCATGGAGAAGAGGTGGTACATTTGAGAGATATTTAGAAGGTTGAATCAGCGGCACCTGGGTGGCTTAATCGTTAAGCGTCTGCCTTTGGCTCAGGTCATGATCCCAGGGTCCTAGGATCGAGTCCCACAACGGGCTCCCTGCTCAGCGGGGAGTCTGCTTCTCCCTCTGCCCCTCTGCCCCTCCGCCCTACTCATGCTCTCTCTCATGCGTGCTCTTTCTCTCTCTCGCAAAAATAGATAAATAAAATCTTTAAAAAAAAGAAAATAGAAGGTAGAATCACCAATATTTAGTATCAGTTAGCGTGTGGGACAAGGAAGGAGCCCAGGGAGATATAAAGGGGTTTCTTGGCTATGAGAGACAAGACAGAGTGATTGGATTTAATCTGTGACTCCCACTCTTGTCACTTAGGGTTAATTCAGTTTCACATCTCATCATTAATAAAAAGCCATTTTAAGAACCTAATAGAAGGCATCAAGAGGATTCCTGCCTGGGATTCTAGCCAGTGAGGTACTGAAGCTTGCCACAGGACACTTTACGGCTTTAGCTGGTCATGCATCAGATATAAATGAAGCCTTGCTTTGAGTTCATAATAAACCTTGTGCTGAAGAGCATGGGCTATAAGACAGTTTCAATCAAGGCCATATTTAACAACTTATCTCTTCTTTTCTTCTACTGATGTTCCCATGGCAAAGATCGCCAATCAATGACCTGTACATAGCCAAGCCCAGTGGAATCTTTTCAATCTGTGTTTTCCTTGACCTCTCCACAGCCTTTGAAACTATTGACCGCTTTCTTCATGAAATCCTCTCCCCTTTGACTTCCACACACCATTTTCTTTGGTTTTCTTCCTTCTCCAAGGCTTTTCCTCCTCAGTCTATCTGAAGACTCCTTTGCTCTGCTCACTCCTTAAAGTCTGGTGGCCTCGGTTATCACCTTTGCTCTGCTCACTCCTTAAAGTCTGGTGGCCTCAGTTATCACCTTTGGGCTGATACCTCACACTTCCATAGCCCAGTCCATTCTCCTGCTCTATTGAGCTCTACATCGGACTATTTTCTGGACACTCTCCTGGGTGTCCCACAGACACATCAAACTCAAGTTGTTTATAATGGAGCTAATCATCTCCTTGTCCCTAACACCTGCTCGTCTTCCTGTGCCTCCAGCTCAGTTGCCAGCACTCATGACACTCAGGACAAGCTCATGACCCTAAGACCTAGAGTCATCCTTGACTCCTCACACCTGAGTTGATCACCATATCCTGGCAACTGCACCTCTTAAATATTTATTCACTGTGTTCCCCTTTCTCTGTACTGACCAGGGGGGCCCTGATTCAGCCCTCCATCTTCTCTCACTCATACATCTTTGCTTCCAATCTTGTCTTTCTTTTTTGTTTTTTTAAGGATTTTATTTATTTATTTGACAGAGAGAGAGAGACACAGTGAGAGAGGGAACACAAGCAGGGGGAGTGGGTGAGGGAGAAGCAGGCTTCCTGCTGAGCAGGGAGTCCAATGTGGGGCTCCATCCCAGGACGCTGGGATCATGACCTGAGCCAAAGGCAGATGCTTAACGACTGAGCCATCCAGGCGCCCCTCCAATCTTGTCTTTCTTAAGAAGTATCCTCCACAGAAGCTCTAGAATGAGCTCTCTCAAGTTCAAATCTGCTCTTATTACTCCCCTGCAGAGTGATAGTAATAGTGTAAGGAATAACTATTATCTTATGTTAATAGTATAAGTAATAAATATTATCTTATTACATGCTTCTGTGGCTCCCCTTAACACACAAAATACAGCCAAGCTCCTTTACGTGACATTCATGTGGGTGCAGCTCCTCTCCAAGAATATGGACTGACTAAGGTGAGCAGAAAAGGTGGGACTGGGAGTGTGGGGGTCAAAAGACTAGCAGAGTGGCAGGTTGCAATACTAAATGTCACTTTTATGGCTTCCTAGCCATAGCTAAAATCTTACCTAAATGTATATGTCAGGAATATTTCAAATTTAAAAACAATTCACACATCATGAGGGAATTTACTGTGGTTATGGAATCTCGAGGAAGGAAAACAGAGAAAAGGTTGATTTGAATTTCCATACTGAGGAACGGTGCTTATTGAAGAAGCATTGCGTTCAGCATTATTTATGACACATGGAGAACTTGATATGCCATGGTACGTTTGAAGTCAGACAGTTTAAGGTATAATTGTTTCCTCCATCACCTACCATCTGAGCAGCCTTGAGCAAATCAATATTGAACCTCTTTGCACCTAAGAGACAACACGTACCTCACATATTGCCAAATGAAATGGCGTACTGACTAGTAAGAGCCTTACATGGGCTTGGCACTTGATAGTTGCTCAAGAAATGCTTGCTTTCTTCCCCTTCTAATCAAATTTAAATTCTTGGCTCTCATTTGAAGATTTTAGAAAGTACACTTTAACCTTCTGTTAATTTTCAAAAAACCCCAAACCAACCCAAACGAGACAAAACAAAATAGCAAATGACCAAAAAAGATATGCAACAGAGAAATCCCTCACTTCCTTAGACAGTCCCTGCCTACAAAAGTAATGGTTCTTCTGAATTGTTTTATGCTCATGCCAGATATTTTATTACACATCTATTTCTTTTTTATATCTTTCTGCCATCCCCCTCCACCAATATCACCAATATTTTTCTCTCTGGTGATTCCTCTTAAATCCTTAAGTGGTACCATGGTGCTGTTACTTGAATCATCCTTCATTGGGTTCCTGTGACATAAAAAAGGCTAAATTAAATGTCAGAAGTGACACTCTATTTTCTTTGATAAATTGTAGAAATAAACACTACGTTATTTTTTTTGTTCCTAGGGTCAAAAGAATGGACAATAAATTTGAAGCAGTGATCCTCTTAAATTTGTTATATTTGTGGCCATTATTTTGAAATATTTGCAAAATAATTTTTATCTTCAAACTTGTCCCTCTATATTCTTATGAAATAAAAATTGAGATAATTGTACATTGTAGCCCTTTTAGATTGTTAACCCCATTTTTTCTGGTTTACCTGTTATGATTTTTAAAATGGAAATTTTATCATCATTGTCATAGAAATTATAAAATCTGAAATATAAATTTGCAGTGAGTGAATGTTTTCTTTAAATTCCTCTTGTCCCTGTGTGGTGTTCCATTAAACTATAATTCTATATTACCTAAACTAAGGAACCATTTTTCTCAGCATTTCTTCATTGCCATTACTAAGGCAACTGTAGATCTTCAAATACAATTAAAACATGGAATAGTAGCCATGATGAGAAGGGCCTCCTGCAGGGGGAGAATGACCCTCCCTCCTGGCCTCTCCATAGCTTGTCTATGGCACTCGTGACAGTTTAATAGTTAGAAGGGACCTTAGCTGTCCTCTAGGCCAACTTCTCATCAAATGTCCCAAGATCTAAATGCCCCTGGCTATTGAACCATTCCCAACAGGCAACCTCATTCAGCCGTTGTGTGGCTTTAAAGGTAAAGCTGGGGTGCCCAGCTGGCTCAGCCAGTAGAACATGCGACTCTTGATCTCGGGGTTGTGAGTTCAAGCCCCACATTGAGTGTAGAGATTACTCATAAATCTTAAAAAAAAAAAAAAAAAGTAAGAGGTCTTTCTTAACCTGTCCAGAGATTTGCTTCTTATATCTCAATGTCATATATTCCTTTTTTTTTTAAGATTTATTAATTTATTTGAGAGAGAAAGAGCATGAGGGAAGGAGGGGCAGAGGGAAAGGGAGAGGGAATCCTCAAGCAGATTCCCTGCTGAGCTCAGAGCCCCACACAGGGCTCCATCTCACGACCCTGAGATCATGATCTGAGCGGAAATCAAGAGTCATCTGCGCAACTGCCTGAGCCACCCAGGCGTCCCTCTATGGCATATATTCTTACATGTCTCTATGCCTACAAATACAGCACAGGGGTTCTCACATGTGAATCCCATGCCAGCAGCATCAACATCACCCAGGAACTTGTATGACCTGGAAACTTGGGGGTCGGGTCCCAACAGCCTGTGTCAGGAAGCCCTCCTCCCTGTGATTCGGATGCATGTCTGAGAAGCAGTCATGGAGGGTAGCAGAAAGTGGGTGGGACTTCAGAATGAGAAATACCTGGTTTCAAATCCTGGCCCTCTGGTGGGTTTAGGCAATAGCTTCAGTCCCTCCCTGGTCCAGTGGAACTTATGAGGATAGCTAACTCCCAGGCTTGCTGAGAGAATTCCGTGGCACTCTAGAGGTAAACCACACAGCAGAAAATCTAACACTACTTAAGCACAAAAATAGTGTCTAGTGTTATTGATTCAATTCAGTACATTTATTAGATGCCTTTGAATATCAGTCTCTACAGAGTCCATTCATTTGAGAATGAAAATTTGAGACATACCATGAAAACTATGATATGTAGAGAAGCTAAATGACATGTTCCAGGAACACAGCTCAATCACTGGTGTCTGGAAGTCCTTAGGGGCCACCCAGACCTCAGCTCTTCAATCAACGCATATTCATCTGCCACTTAATGAAGCTACAAGACGTCTGGTTCTGGGCCTGGTGATTACACGAGTAGGGATTTAAATTTTATCAGTATACTGTCTGAATTCATTTTCACCTTATTGGAGCATTTCCGCCCAGTACTGAGTGCCCTGGCAATTTATTTATTTACTTCCATTTTGCTTTCTGATTTGTATCCCTCTCGGTTATGAAAGCGTTTCAGGTGACCGTTGGACATTCTATCAAGAGTTGGCGTTCCCAGCTGCCATGGCACCGACTGTGGGACCAGTGAGGGGCAGTGATTGCTTCCCAGAACTTCCGTGCTCAGCACAATGTGCACAGTTCTGCAGATCCCAAGCTGCTACATAAGTGAAGTGGTCTAAGACCAAGTGCTTTAGGTTAACTGGGATCCCATATATAACATGTTAAAAATTATATTCAGTTGTCAAGAAATATGTGTGGTTATTTCTTGCCCTTGCTTTCACGAAGAAATGAGCAGACGTTTTACTATGCCCTTGCCGGGGAGAACTAAAGTGTTACCGTTCACCATCACATGCCAAAAAAAGTCTGTTTTACAGGCCTTCCGGAAGGAATAAGGCACCTTTACTTTCGAACAGCCTGTTCCCAGTTTTGTGTGGCTGATGATATTACTGGACCAGTGACAGAGGCCAAGGCAGGAAAATAGACTGGGTTACTTATAACTCTTTGAATGTGGACACATCAGCTTGTGGGAAGGAAACAATTTAAAATGGGGCTTAGGGAAAGGGGGGAAAAAATCCCCTTTCTCCATATGAGATTCTTCCACGGTGTTGTCATGCAATCTTGAAAACCTCCATAGAACAGTGGATCACTCTCATTGGATATATGCAAATTATCTGAGACCCAGTGGTTTCCTGCCAGGCAAAAACTTATAATAACAGAGCAAGAATGCAATCCGAGCCCTTGCTCTCTGAAATCCCTGAAAGAACAGAGTCGTTCTTGACAGGGCAAATTCAGCCCTTGACATTCCAGGAAATAGCTTAATAATGTCATTTAGGCTGGGGTTGTAACCAATCTTAAGACGTGGAGACAAAAATGCCATATGTAAGATTTAAAATATCAGTTCAGGAACCATTTTTCATTTTCACAGAGAGTTTAACAACAAAAACACCACCACCACAAAAACTAAGCAATGCATCTTAATTAAATTTAGCCTTGTCCCCACTAATTAAACCCAATCTAGGAAAAAGGAAGGGTTTCTGCCAAGAAACTACAGACACATCCTGACTACTATTTCTTTTCCATTTACTTTCCTAGGTATGAGGTCCGTGTCATATCCAGGATGTGATACCCAAACAAAACTGTTTTTTGATGATTAATATAGGTGCAGAAGTGAACCCCACCCTGGGGCCTCGAAGGCCTTTATGAGACACGCTGGCCTTTACATTTCGATGTGTTTCATTTTCTCTGGGTGCAGGACAGCTGAAAAAGGTTACAAGACTCAGGTTAAAAGTCAGGAAGTGGGATCAGGGCCCCACACTATGACATCACTCTCTTACAATGCAATGATGCAATGACATTTCCTACAGGAAAATGATTCGAACTGACAGGCAGCCTCAGTTCCCTGCAGTGGAAGGTGTCAGGCCTCCCTCCCTCCTGCCCCTTGGCTGGGGCTTCTCAGAGGTCAGAGAGAGAGAGAGAGAGAGACCCAAGCCACTTACATTTTACGGCAGTCCTGGTATATTTAAAATGAAGGTGTGCTAGAATTTAGTTTAAAAAACTGTGGAATGTTTTAACTGTTAAGGCAATTAATGCTTTTAAACAAAACACATACAATTTTGCCATTCACAAGACAGTTTCTAGATCTATTATTAAAAGCGACATATAGGCAGAGCCACAAGGGATGGTTGTACATGTTGGCCAAAGGGAAGAGCAGGGATTAAAATCTGGCTCACTCTCTGATTGCCAAACCATGCTTGCTCGTGCAGTACTAGATCTGCCTTCTTCTGATTCACACAAATGTCCCATGTCGGTGATAGATGATGGTCTTGTAACAGACCCGGGTTTAAGTTGAATCTTAAGTTAAACCTTAAGTTTAAGATGAATCAGTCTTCTGCTTTCAGCCCTGGGTGTCTCTTCAGAGGAGTCTCCAGAGGTGCACATTTGAGGACCTGGCTGATTCTGAATTCTGGGCAAATGAGTCTCCTGAGAGCCTTCTGGGGGGGGACTGCCAATGAGCCCCCATAGGCTGTGTGAGGGACATGGCTTGGTGAGTAGAAGCTCTGAGCTAGGTTTCAGCCTGGCCAAGTAATTGCATGCTCCAACTGTAATACTGTAATGGAACCCTTCACCCCCAATATGTAGACACTGCTCCGGACTCCACATGCAGACACAACTCCTCCAGCAGTTAAGACCAGTTTAGAGACCTCCGTCAAGGCAAGACGAATTTAAGGGCTCGCGCCAGTCCTGGGACTCCACATCAAACTGTCCTTGTGTTTCCACCCGTGGCCTTGTAACTCTGTTCCTGGGTTTCTGCCTCTATGTGAGCTAGCGGCTGGGTGCCTGGTGAGTGCCGCCTGGGACTAAGCGTTGATTGCCTTGATTTACCTTACCATGCCTCTTCTAGAGACCTCAAGTCTGTCCCAGAAACAACGGAAGGAGGAGTCCAGACTTAGAATCTTCTGTCATTTTTCTTCTGCTCGTCACCCTGCTTGGATCCTCTCGGGAGTTCGTGGAATCTGCCAAGCCATGACTGCAGACAGGACGAGAGAACAAGCTTCCTGATGCTTCTTTTGTCCATTTCAAAACAACATTCATACCAAGTCCCTTTTATGTCGGAGGAGAGTCAACGGGAGAAGTTTCGACCACAAAAGAATCAAACAGTTATGACTTCAGAAATGTAAAGTCTTGGTATCCATGATAGCTTATACGCCTGAAGCAATGTTTCTAGATACTGCGCTAAGTTTGCCAGACAGATTTAAGCTCTCTATGGCAGCTGAGTGGCTAGTGTCAGGGATGCTTTGAGGCCCAGTTTATGCGGTGCCCCCAAATTGGGAGTGCTTCTATGAATCATCACACTGTAAGTGGATGGAGCTTGCCGTGACAGATAGACTATCTTCGGAAAAATTCGCAAGTATCTGAAGGCCTAATACATTTCTTTAGGATGAGTCAAAACACAAGCATGGTTGTCACACCTTTTCCCCGTTACCCTCTGGGTGTTCTCTCAGAGGTGTGGGGTCTTCATAAGTGAGTAACTGTTTCCAAAGTCTGTCAAAGTACCAGTGGTTACAATCTGGGAAGCATAACATGCCTAGAAAGGAGTATAGAATGTAAAATGTCCGAAATTACTGGGGTTTTATTACTCTGCCAAATTCGCATTCTTATACTATCTAA